ATACGGTATAACTGTAATGAGTATTCATTTAATTATTATTTGTGTATCTGCAACATTGTGACTCATGAATGAAAAATAGTATATTATCGATGGAACATATTGCATTTGTTTGATTATTTTTATGATCTTCCACAAATGAAGAATACATTCAATTCGAAAATCCTTCGTTTTTGAATTTTTGAAAAATAACATTTAGTTACTGTATTCGATAATGATAAAGCAGTTGTCAATTTTAAATTGATTTTCAGCAACACAGAATCGATAATCTTTAAGGATTGCAGTAAAGATCGTGACGTAAGATTTTCTTCTAATTAATTTGCCATTGAACTAAGATCATCTTCTTGCAACGACAACATTCAATAAAGACACAGTATGAGTTCTGTCTTTTTATATACAGTTACGTTAACTCTTGACAGAAAATTAGGTTATTGCCATTGATAGTCTTAGTTTTAGGAAACCCAACTTGACATATCGTCTTTTCTTATTCATAGGTGCATTAATCAAAACATCGCGATATTTTTGCGTTTTACTAATTGATTTTAAATGTCACCAATTTCAAGGTGAGAAGAGCCTATAAAACTAGGAGAAAGTCTTAAACATCAAGAGCCTCCTAGGTATATTAGAAGATTTAGCAATTCTGTTTTTAATATTGAATTTTCGAATTCTGTCAATTGTCAAATTTCAGATTAACAAACAAAGACAAATTTGATATTGTCTTTCAATATCATAACATGAGTCGGTGGGAACTAATATAAACTTTTATACTATGTGCCATCATTTACATCAACTCGAATCGTTTTTTCTTCGTGCATGAAAACTTTTAATGAATGTATTCATACATTGTTATTTGAACTTCCATTTCTTACATATTTAATTTTACTACCAATTAGATTTTTCTGTAGTAAGTGAACTCTGATGTAGCAACGAAAAATTGGAATGATTCCGTTATCCTTATTAAATGGAATGATGAACAGTATTTTCAGAACAAAAATTCAGTACTCACTGGCTTTATCGGCTTTTGTCCTGATATCATAAATATAAGTCAAACTGGCTTTCGTCTCAGTCATAGTATATCGTTGCGACGATTCGAGATGATTGAAGATCCATTATTTGCTGTCGACGTATGAAAATAGACCAGTTGTCCCTGCTTGATGAAGATGATTAAGTTAGTTACTCTCATGCCGGAATCCTCAGCAATTATAGAATATGTTTTCTTCACAAGGTTTGAGCGTGAACTAGTAGGGCCATGTGAATCATGATGCGCAATACAAAAGTTCTATTTATCATTTCGAAAGAGTTATATGTAAGACAGAATAAACCATTATTAACGAAAGCGAATACTAGAATAACTTCTTTCAGTGAATTTACTCACTAAAAAATTCAATAATGTTTTATGAAACTTTCTCATGTTTCGTGCCCATAAAAATGACAAAGCGAATATAGCGGTCGAATTATTCTCATCCTCATGCAGTTAAACGTAGTATTTTCAGGGCTCTCATCTTCTATGACGATGTAGTCCTTAACGGTTTCAAATAGTGTTACTTAAATGTAGAAATTTATCCGATTAATCATTCTTTGTCAACTTTTTCCTCTTTGGAAAAATAATAACTCTACTTTTGTGTTATGCCTCTCATACTATTTATGATGAACTATCAATATCTCTTACAATATTATTATTATAAAGTACATATCGTTGAAACTTCGTCAGACGTAAACCAAAACGCAATATCTATCTTCAATTTACTTTTGATCCTTTCACAAGTATGACAAGTCTCGATTTAGCGGCAGGTAAGCATTTGTCTTGCAGAGTGTTGGTAGACTTCGATGTTTTTCATTTCCAGAAAATAGATTTTTGTCCAATTGATTAGCTTGATTTTTATAGTAACACTTTAAACAAATGTCACCATGATAACAGACTCCTGTCATACATTTTTTGTTATATCAATATCAAGATCTTTGTTCCTGAGCTTATTATCGTTTCTTTTTTCAATCTCAAATGCTTTGACAGTCATAAATATGTTTGACATTTTGTCGGTTATTTTCTTTTTCTGATTGTTATAATGTTCATTGTTGCTGCCAATACACTTACTGGTGACTATTGCCGAGTTGTTCTTTTATCATCATCTTGTTTTCAGTTTTTTGATTTCTATAATAGCTGCAGCTGTCACATGATTTTATTTGAACCCTGTGAGGCACAACCAGCAGTGCAACCTCTGTCTGATTTCTTGTAAAAATCTAATGAAAAGGGCGCTTTCGTCTCTTAATGTCTTTTATCCTACAATAGGTTTATCGCTGCTTGTGGTATCTAAATGACCGATATGTCAACAGCAATAAAATACTTCTCTGCTCTCCTCTACACATCATATCATCTCAGCATAATACGTTCAATGTTTACTCGAGACGTATTTTATCAAAATGATTTCAATAAATCTGACGACTGCTGAAATACCTATGATGATAAAAGTATTGCAAGGATGGCATGTGGATTTCTTCTTCAGCTACAGCAATAAAAACACATCTACATTCACATACGCACACTAACATCCTTAACTTTTTCTTAATTTCTGCTGTGAGTAAGATGATGTATCCATATTTGATGTCTGTCATATGTCTAATTAATCAGCCAACTGAAAGAGGTCACATTTGATACAAGTATTCAGAATGAATGTATTGTCATAGATCTAGATTACTTTTTTTTTATTTTTCCAATCTTAAAACATTATAATGAGTAAAGATCTCATTCTTTCGAAAAAACAATACGACTTTGTCTAAACACAATGATATTTTTCTAAAAATAGAAAGGCTTACATCTTCCCGCACATGGATATATCCATGCTCCTATCCATTGAACATAATATTTTTTCTTAAATTTCATGTTAAATATTTTGCTTACTTACAAACTATCAATACGCAAAAAAAACTTTTCAATTCAAGACCTGTAGCGCTTGAGCTTATGTCAATAAGGATAAAACACAACGACAATCATCTAATAGTTAAACAAAAAATAATTAGTGACATTGATCTTGCGTAGAACGACCGCATTTGAAGTGAATATTGATAGCACGCTCAACATATGACAAGATTATCTTAAAAAATCACAAGATATTCAGTCAGAAACAATTCTTTTCAGTTATTTGAACAGAAAGATAGAACAATATCGGTATCATAAATTTATGGAAGTGCAAGCTCTATTCCTCATCAAGATGTTATAGATGAAAGAAGACACTTAAATTGTGAAATGGACACCATTCGAAAGATTTTAATTAACACATTAATTATATTGAAGAAAAGTGAGCAGTGGATTTGTTGCTTCTTGTATTTGGTAAGAACAAATGCTAAGCGATGATTAAAACAAACTACATACAAATAGACGAAACTGAAATCAGATCAAAATTTATTTCGAATACAAGCGAAGTTGTCGTTTTATTCAGTATCAATGGCTCATTTTTTTTTGTTTTATAGTGAATAAAAGACGAGCACGAGACATGAATATTGAATACTTCTCAGTCAAAAATGTCCCGAATATGTGGTGGTAATTCCAACACTTGTTGTTGTTGTCACTACATAGGTATCAGCACTGGATATTTGCTGTGCACCAAACAAATTAAACTGGGCATTGACATTGTACGAACTACTGATGCAGGTAATATTTTTTCCACTAGCAATCGTCCATGTATAGATGATCTGTGAGCCATTATCAACATACGAAGAGCTTACTACTCCAGTTACAAATGAATCGGGACCACCATTGTATGTTGCACCGACAGTCTTTTGTACAATGATTTGAATAGTAATATTCGTCAACGTTGTCAAACAATTAATGGTGAGCCTTTCATAACCATACCAGTTGGTTAAAGATGATGATACACTAACAACACCTGTGAAAATAAACAATAAAAGTGTTCGATTGAACTATTTACACCTACAACGTGGTAAACACGCTACTTTGCTATGTCGCAGTTGATATTAAATGAAATCAGTAAATTAACTGAACTTAGCTCCTTGTTATCAAGTTCGATCAAAATATCAAAATATTATTGATTGATCAGTTTCTGTTTTTCTATCTATTTGTATAACATTAGAGACTCGGAATATGTTGATGAATACATCACCATGTACTTTAGATATTACAAATGCTGTAAAAGTCACAATGGATTATCCACAAAACCTACTAGAAACCAGACGACGCCATATCGTCTCTCTTTTCGGTATATATTCACTTGTCAGCAGTGTATGAAACAAAGGAGAAAAAGGCGAGACTTCCTTACTTCAATCTTTTTTTGAAGTACGAGGGAAGTACGTGAAGTATAGGAGTCTCGCTTTTTCCCCTTGGTAGGGTCACTAGCAGTTGACTGATTTCAAACATTTTATAAAAGAAACAACAATTTCAATTGAGACAATGGTTTCCTTGTTTTGAATATTAAGAGAGTTTGTATAGATACACTGAAAAGATTGCTAATCTGTGAAAAAAACTCGTTTTTCTTGACAAAAAATATCTTCGACATCGGGTCGAGTCGGATCACGAAGAATTGGTCCATATCGGACACTGTACCATATCCCTCAAAAATTGATTGTAGTATAGAAAATAGATGTTAATCTATCAAACACAAAAATAATACATTAAAAATCCATGAGTATTAGTGAAAACATGCAGTATCATCAAAAAATGGTTATAATTGCATTTCAAATCCGAAAAAATCTCCGAAACATTTATTTTTCTGTGTTATTTTCTACATGGTTAGTGGTTACTAATGATTCTAAAAACTCAATCTCGGATTATTTAAGTAGGAGCGATGCAATTTGGAATAAATGGTGCTCAAGATTCTTGCGTAGTTTGATTATGAAACTGAAAATAAGTAAACTACCGATATTTTCTTGAAGAATACTGAAGAAAGTAGAAAGGCTTTCAACATGTAAAGAGACTAAAGCCTGTATCATTATCATGGTTGTGTCTTCTAAGGTTTTCCATATTTCACTCGAAATCTCCCAGAAAGTTTCGTTCACTCACTTGAAGTACTAGTACTGACAGTTGTTGTTGCTGATGTAGTAGTCGTACTAACCGTAGTTGTTGTTATTGATGTAGTAGTCGTACTAACTGTAGTTGTCGTTGCTGATGTAGTAGTCGTACTAACCGTAGTTGTTGTTATTGATGTAGTAGTCGTATTGACATTGGTTGTTGATAATGTAGTATTCGTGCTATCCGTTGTTGTCGATGCTATCGAAATAACAAATGTTTATCTAGCTTAGATTATACAAACTTGTTAGTTGTTATATAGAAATCGTCCAGGTATCGTGTTCAGGACTTGGCACTATCAGATACAAAATAACTCTGAACAAGTCTTAAACGACTGTTTGTCTAGATTTACTTACATAATAATGTACTAACTCCATATACTCTTATTCAGACGAACTTTGTGTCCAGAGCTACAACTACGATGAGTTGTAGAGAAAGCATCTGATGTAAGATAGGGTGTGGATGTACGTATTCTCTTCATAATATACCTACATCCTCTTTCCAATTCGTTTTTTTTCTCAGTCTTCGTTCGTTTAGCATTGATTGAATGCCTGCATTACCTATTTTACCATTCACTATCACAATGAGTGAGCATCCTTTCGAAGTCTTTTCTAAGTTGCAGCAATGCCTTCTGTCAATTCATTAGAGTCCATGCCCATGACTTCGATTCCCGAATACGGCAGGAATCCGAACAAAATGACCTTGTTTTCTTGTCAATTCCCACTTCTTTTCGACCAAAAAAGACCGAAAAATTGCTGTACCACTCTCAACTTTTTGCTGGCGGTTTTCGTCATCAGAATAAAAAAGAGAATCTACTGTATCCGGAAGGAGACAAGAGTAACCTATAGAAAATGATCTGAGAGTCAGTGATATTTCAACGAAATTATACCGAAATTGGATCGTGCATCCGTGAAAACATATCAGAAAAAACAATCACATCCAAAATAGACTTTTAAAGATGTTTCACTGTTAAACTAGTCTTTTGAGTTGGTTTGTGTAAAAATAGATTGCTTACAAAAGATGATCAAGTTATGAAAGGGTATTGATTTATTGAAAAGACTTGTAATGATTTTCGTTCTATCAATTAACCATTCTTGATAAAAGCAGTGAATTTGTGTGGTATTTAGAACAAGACGAACTTTAACTTATGTTTTAGGAATAACTTTGGAATACATATGAAAAATTATTTTAACTAGTCTATTTGATTAAATAGTAATTTTAAATCTGTTTGATGCAAAAAAAATGATTTTCGTACTCTGAGGTAGCTGAAACACTTATGAACTATCCTCGATATTATTGAAATTTGTTGAATAAAGCTAATTCTGTTCGTTTTTTTGTGCAAGTAGATATTTTTCTTTATTGGATGGTTTCTTTGTCGATTACGAACTATAATAAAATAGTTGCGTCATCAGTGCATGTTTAACATGTATACTGCTAAGACACTGACATTATCGAGTTCACTTAATTGCTTAACGCTCTTTGGTAGTGATCAAAAACTTGACTTAAATTGTCATAAGTGTCAATTTTCATCCGTACAAATGTCCCAAAGTAAATCTAGATATGCTTCTAACACTATATTGAACAATGAGACATGTTACCTAATTATTTTCATGCTGCTCACTCTGCATACTTAATGATTTATACGTTATCTTTAATGCATCCTAATCGCACTGGTGTTGTGACGAAAATCAACAAAATTGTCAGACAATACTCATATATTCCTCTAGAAATAAATAGTTTCTATCTGTATTTTATATAAATTTATATATCGTCATTATAAAAATATATTCAAAAACAACATGTATGCATTCTAGAAGTGCTTGGAGTTTTCTATCACTCTGTGTAATGCGAAAATAAATCGAGGAAGAGGGATGCACGTTTATCATCAGATTCCCAAGGATTTTATTTTGTCAATTTTTCATCACTATAGAAATATGTTTTAAGAAAAGTAAATATTTATTTCGATAAAGCTTGAAACTCTTAACCATCCTATATATTTTTTGCCATGCCTTGCGTTTGTGTGTGTTTGTAACAGAAATGCAAGGCAAGACATCAAGACAAATATATAAGGGATGTTAAGCATTGTCGTAGAATTCTTTTTGGTATCGCCCTTTTTATTTCTAAAACCGATAGGATATTATAGTCCGTCTAAAATTCTATTCGATATTCTATGATAGAAGCTGGCGTTCTTGATTTTATGTATTCAAAATTGATCTGAAAGATTATGAAATTATTATTATCCATTTCTAATAGAACCATTATATATCTTCAAGTCCTCTAAAATGATGTATCGAGAAATTGACTTTCGAGTAAAAATACATTCTAAATCTAAAACTATCGGATGCACATGAAAGCTTTTTCGATTGCCTCAATACTCATATAGAAACAAGGCCAGTTTCACATACATGTGTTATCTAGTTCCCGGATTTATTTGGCATATTCATATGATCAACATATGGTTGAGGAAGTTCTCATCTGTACTAAATATATGATATCCATGTACTCGCTAATTATAATTATTACATCTTACATATGATTTGCTGAATTAAGTTTGAAAGAGTCCAACATATCAAATCAGGTCGTTATGCGTCTTTGTCCCCCATTAATACTGAAAAAACTTGTACAAAAGTGGAGCACTGAAGAAAAAAATCTTTTCAAAGAGACAGCTTCAGCAATCATCAACTTATCTTCTTCTTCGTTCGAGACATACCTGAGGATATTGTTGTTAAACTTCCTGATCCTGATCTCAACCATAGAGTGAGTATAACAGCTAGAACAATTCCACCGAGCAATAATCCGACAAGACAACATTCACAACAGGTTAACCAGAGAAAGGATCCTTTAATGTTGTTGCTGCTGCTTTGTATAAAATAGATAGATAGATAGATACATTTTTTGAATGGTCTTATCATATATGAAAGATATAGAGTTTTGGTTTTACCTATCATCATCATCATCATCTTTTGTCGTGGCTTTATTTTCGGTGGAATAAACTGGTATAGATGTCGTCGATGATGAATCTATTGACCATGCAGAAGATCGGAGAAAATTCGTTGTCGATGATGATAAATTTTGTACTTTGGTCTTGGTGCTTTTTGCCATGATCGATTCGGTTTTGCTTGTCTGATAAAAATATTCAATGATGGCATTAATTCAAGAAATTTTAATTTTTCAGTTCGATTACATTGTATTTGTGTTGATTATATTCAAATCAGAATTTTTCAATTAAAACCTTCACAAAAAAAAAGAAATCTAACAAACATCTCGCTTGATCGATAAGGTTGATTACATTTCTGCTGACGCAAGTTGGCCTGTTTGTTATGAAGTTGTTTTCACATCAAAGACAAAAAGAAAATTTTACATATTTCAAGTAATGAGTACATTGCAATGAAATTCAGTTTGGATATAATAAAACAATATGCGATTTTATTTATTAATAAAAATTCAGCTCACCTCGATGAAATATAATGAAAACCACCCATTGTGGAGTGTTGTGCACAAAATGTAATTTATTCAATCGATTGAAAATAAATGAAGTAACATATTTCTCGATGAATAAGAACGCAGTCTTTTTGTTTTTTTTTCTTTGGATGGAGATCGACAGGGATGGATGTGAGTCTTCTCTTCACTCACACTACACGTCATATACACATCGCTCGCAAAATAGTTACTGTTTAGATTCTGGATGTTTGAATACTCGAGACAGCGTTTCGACAATTTTAATCTGTATATTACAAATCATTAAATGAATATCTCTCGTTTGTCTTCAATGTTTATATTGCTCATCAAGTGCTGATCAGTGTCCAAAATCGCAGATTTCATCATGCAGAATATTTACTGTTCTTTCTCATATATAAAACTATGCTTATTTTTATCTATATTGTAAATATTGTGATTCTTTTTATTTTTTGTTATTTCACACTCATGCATGTCTACTTATAGTCAGATGATCATCTATTATTTGTATTTTGTTGCAGCACCATTATCTTCGCATATTCGTTGTCTCGATTCAACGTTGAATAAATTAGGTCTTAAAACGACTTGTAGCAGTTGTTCATCAGTATTACCAACTGACACACTGTTAATGAATTTGAATCTTTTCTCTCATTTGAATTTATCATCAAGATAAAGTTGCATCTGATATATTACTAAAAAGATCTTGTACAATCAAATGAAATTTAAAATGATAGGATTTTAACACAAAGTTTTATAGATTTATACATGATTGAACTGAAATGATACGATCTTCAGCTACCTAATTATATATCGATAAGATATCATATTGTTTGATGATCATTCACATATATAATGTTTTTTTGTTATTTCGAAACAAAAGCAGTTCTTATTATTTTCTTCAGACTGAAATATTGCCTTTGATCGAGAAAGAGAGGAACATTATTATTGTTTTTCGTATTATAAAAAATTTTTTTCCAGTTAAAAAAAGAAGAGAATGATTTCTAGATTATGTTTCAAGAATACTTCTTTATTTGTTTATTTTGAGAAACTTCAATAACAACATTATTTGAAAAGACTGGTTAAAAATCAACAATTTCGACCCACTCTGAAAGTATTATAAAATTAATCCTTTCTTGCACGTGGCTAAACCTGACGGTTCTGAAGGACAATTCGCTCAATAACATCAACCTTATGGCCTCTAATATATACAGGAGGTGGGTGTAGGTGGAGTATCGATGTGCGATGTAGGTTTCAGTCTGAAACTTTGATCCTTAATCATAGCCGACACCCACACCCACACCCTTATGACATAAGCAATTATTAGTGCATGACGGCAGAACAAAAAAAGGAAAGAAGAAATATACTTCAATGAATATCACTAAACTAAGTTACAATAAACAAGTCTTTCTCTTATGGTACGATTATAGTGCGTGCTATAACATTATGTATTCACCAACGTCAAAAAAATTCTTTTTATGATAAAGACTAGATTTAGACTGTTGATTTGAAGTCTACAATCGATAGGGTTTAAGCTGACATAAAATTTGTTTTTACATGTCTCATGGTTCAAGAGAACCAAATTTTTATAAAATGGTCCCTATCAGAGATGGACAAAATCGCACCGCGCCTCCCCGCGCTTCCCCGCGTTACTGCTCGCGCCTAGTCGCTACGCACATCTCTCTTTCTCTTTGCTCTACCAATCAGTTTCTCAAACTCCACCGAATACCAGGATGCTCTAAGCATGCGCTCATCGAAGCTCAAACTAGTGTAGCGTAGGCGTGACCAACGGCGCGGGGAGGCGCGGTGCGACGTTGTCCATTTCTGGTCCCTATAGCGACCATAGTGCAAGAAAGGGTTAATATGGTCTAAATTTCTAGTAATTTCGAGAACTCGACTCTAAAAGGTTGCCTTATGCTTTACTATTCAGCATCATCAAATCCCATTTTCCACGCGCTTTAATTTAGTATAAAATTTGTTATGGATTCTATTTGAAATCATAGCGTTACTTCATAGAAAAACATTTTTACCTACTCTGTATAGTTTGTTGATAGGTTTTTCTTTACTCTATGCATTTAGAAACTGTCTACATCTGCATGATCTAACCTTTTGTATGCTAGCATTTTCAACATCTTTTTTGTTTCATTCTTTTTTATGTCATCCGAATGCACTATATACAAATAGGCAAAACTAAAGTCAGATCAGAATTTATTTCGAATACAAGCGAACTTGTCCCTTTATTAAATGTCAATTGGCCATTTTTTATTTTATAGTCAATCAAAGACGAACATGAGACATGAAGATTGAATACTTCTTAGTCAAAAATGTCCCGAACATGTGCTGGTCACCCCGGCACTCGTCGTTGTTGTCACTACATAGGTATCAGCACTGTATAATTGCTGTGTACCAACCAAACCAAACTGGGCCTCAGCAGTGTACGAACTACCTGAACACGTGATATATTGTTCACTAACGATCGTCCATGTGTAAATGATCTGTTCCCCGTTATCAACATGCATAAAATTAACTGTCCCGGTCCAAAATGTTGTGTAATTACCATGGTACGTTGCACTGACAGTCTTTTGTACAATGATCTCAATAGTAATGTTCGTCAAAGTAGTTACACAGCTAATGGTGAGCGTTTCCGCGCCGTACCAGTAGTTTGAAGATGGCGATACACTACCAACACCTGTGTAAATAAATAATAAAAGTGTTTGATTGAACTATTGGCAATTATAAAGTAGTAAAAAAAAACTACTTTGTTACGTCGCATTGCACATCGAACGAAATCTGTACTTTAGTTGAACTTATCTTCTTGTTACAGAGTTTGATCAAAATCAAAATACGATTGATTGATCAGTTCCTGTTTATCTATTTACTGGTATGGTATTAGAAATTCGAAATACTTTGATGAATGCATTGTCACGTTCTTTAAATGTTAAAAATTCTATTAAAGTCACAATGGAATATCCAAAGAACCTACTCGAAACCAGGAGATGTTATATTGTCTTTCTTTTCGGCATACGTTCACTTGTCAGCAGTGTATCAAGATATTTAGTTTCAAGATTAGTTATTCTCTTTTCTTACTTTTTGCAATTTTCTCCATTCTGTTCGACAACCTTTTCATTGTCTATTCGATACTTTTAACTTCGTTCTTTGCACATTAAGTTAGTTAGACTTAGATTTACTGGGTACATAGATACGCCGTTAAACACTGAAAAAAATGCAATGAAGAAATGAATGTGTACGAAATTCAATTTTTCTTTGTTTCATTCTCGAATGTCGTTTGTTTTTTCGTCGGATGATATAAGTATATTACGTTTCTTACGCAAGAAAAGATTATTAATTAACTCTGTATAAATACTTCTTAACAATATCAGATTAAACACATGTTGTAGTATGATCTCCATAAAAGAAAAATTTGCATCTATTGTAGATAGCTATGAATCATTACCAAAAGATCATTCAATTATAAGGAGATTGAGTGTTGTATACAAAAGGGTGTGGATGTGGGCTGAGTGTGGGTTCAGCGTGAGATGGGTATGGTTTGGGGTGGAATGTATGTGGGTGTACGTGTGGATATTTTCTACACTGTTATCCACATTCACATCCCACCTCCAGACACAATCGGGCCCACACTCACAGTCATACCCAAAGCTTACAACCAGATCTCTTCGAAGCAGTTACTGGCGTGAAATGTACATAAACGAAGTTCAACAAAAGTTACAAACTAAAGCTACAAAATCGATCTGATGTAACCAAAGAAATACCTGTAAGCGATGTGGAATTTGTTTAGTTCAAAGAAATTGAATAGCAATTAAATGAGATTACGCAGACGTGATTATGAAAGATTTTACAAACCCAGACTATTACATGATCAAATCAATGAATTGTGCGGTAGCTGCAACCCAGATTGCAATTGAAGGTCGGTTTTTGCTATTTTCTACGAGAAATGTTCACTAAACTTTGCCCTAAACTCTTAATCTGAATAATGTCGAAATACGAACACTTTTAGTTGTATAAATTAATAAAACTCTACTATTCATATGATACGATAGAGATTTGACTCACAAGTTATCGATGATGTTGTAAGCATGCTAGCAGTTGATCCAACAGCAGAACTTGAGCCTAGTGATGTAGTCAATAAAGAAAGGTTACTGCTGGTAGTAACAAAAACTGAGCTCAGACTCTTACTTGCAATGGCATTAACAGACGACGTTCCGCCAGTAGTAGCTGTGTTTGTTCCTGATACAGTACTGGGTGTCATCGATGTACTGCCTAGAACTGTTGATGAAGAACCACTGGTGTTGACAACTATAATGAGATATCTGACATCGTTTTTAAATAACAGATCTCTACTAACCGTTCGAATCATTCGTTTGAGTCCTTGGTAACATAAACAGTAAGACAATCGCTGTGATAAGACCAGCTGCCAATATTAGGATTGTAATTATCATTCCACATATGCAACATGTTGACGTTCTAGAAAATCAAAATGTAGGACCTATTTATTCTCTATTACAATGACTGACGGGTCTGAAGCGGCTGATCTTCGATTCCACCTCTGAGACTTGTTGGAATTCGGTTTTGACCATCTAGTCGATGGAATTTCATCAATTTCATCCAAATTAGCAACAAAGCTATTGAAT